CTGGTTAACTGCACTTGCAACAATAGTTTATTAAGGCTATACGGGGAATCTTTGTGTTTATTTGTGGTAGGAAGCGGCGGCACAGCGGCTAGCCCAGCACTGCTCTTACCGGCAGCTCATGTTCAAGTCCCACTCACGGCTAATAAGTGACAGCGAATATCCGAACCGGTGCTGGGCCTCCCCCTAGGTCGACTCGGCATTGAAAGTTAGTACTTGGTGCGGTGTGTGGTGTAAAACATCAGCACTAGCGAGACAAAAGGTTGTGGTGCTGGCCACCCACCCCCTCGTGTGCCACGTTGGTCTTCATAAGTGCCTACTCACTAACATCACTTGACCCTAATCTGGTAAAGGAACCGGTATCTTTGTATCAAATTTCTATGAATCTCTGTGAATCTATAAATCTCCCCTGGCCACTCCATGCGAATGCACGGCTCTGTATGTCAATCTATTGATCTCTGCGTGCCTATGGGTATCTGTGCGAGTCTATTGATCTGTGCAAGTAGATAGGTCTCTGAGTGTATGGCCCATTTAGAGCATTTGGCTCCAATACATTTCCACGTGATGAGCCACTTCGTTGAGCTATCATTTGTGGCCAGGTCGCTTCTGAAAAAGCTCTTAGCTCAGTGGGTTTTACCTGGTAAAATAAAACAGTCTTTTGTGATTTACTTACCTTTCCAATACTTTGCACTCCATCGTGTTTTTGTAGTGTTTGTTGTAACCTTTTGATCCGCCCCTACTGGACATCTGTGAAAAAGAGATTTACAGCTCATCGGATTCCTCCAGTGTCATTTTTTATTCCGATATATCTGTGCGAGACTATGGGTCTCGATGCGATTTGTATGGCTCTGTACGTGAATCTATCGATTCGTCTTCCTCTTACATTGCTTTAGGAATAGCGGAGTGGAGAATCATATCTGTGATGACGCCTCATTCATAGAAATCTTTGCGAGTCGATGGGGCTCTGTACTAGTGTATGGTTCTGGATGTGCACCTACAGTCGTATTCTTCGTACCGCTGACGTTTATGCAGACCAGAGGTGGTTGATGAGCCAGACGATTGCGTCAGTAGCTGGCGATCATCGCTGTGATGACGCCGAATGGGGCACTGAGTCGACGTTGCATGTCCCGTGGCTGTTCTGCCGGGTGACCGCAGTCTCTGCACACCGCCCAGAAAGTTTTAATTTCCCATTCATGCATCGTCGTCGTCGTCGTCGAGTGTCCGCATCTGCTGCTGCTGCTGCGATGCGGCTCAGGGGTTGTGGCCCCATGAGCTTCGCGGATAAACGGACACGAGAAGCAGCGGCCCTCGTCAGCCAGGGCTTTATTTAAAATCCCCCCTGCCCACTGCTGTGAGACACTGTTGGTGGTGCTGTGAATGCTCACGGGCGCACTCACTCCCGACGTGAGGCTTCCTCCATGCACGTGGAGAGATAGGAGCAAGGCGGGCTGGCTCACACAGCCTCCGATAGCTTCTCGGTGGCAGGGTGCTGGGGGCAGCGCAGCGGTGACAACTCGCAAGAAGGTGGCTGGGTTCGATTCTCTTTGACTCGGGGTCCTTCCCGTGTGAAGTTTGTAGACCTACCCCCCTCCTGTTCCGCAGTGTGTGTGAGTGTAAGAGCGGTAGTGCAGTCGTTCAGAGCATCACGCTGCCATGCCGGTGACCCGAATTTTACTCCCGCTAAAGGCCAACACCAGTGACGAATATCTGAACTGGTTCTGGACCTCCACTAGGTCGAGTCGGCCTCACATGTGTAGTGTGGTGTGTAGACATCAGCAATGGAGAGACAAAAGCGGCCAGGCACTGAGCCAACCTCACACCCCCGCATCTGTTAATATCAACCTGAAGAGGTGCTCACAAAGCACTTGCCTACAATCTGTTTAGGCGATACGGGGATCTTTTTCTGTGTTGGAGAGCATAGAGGGGGCTAAACGGGCGAAGAACGGCCGAGAGAAGTGATTGTGTCAAGGCCGTAGTCATGGAGTCAACATTGGGGGGGACCAAATCTTCCAGGGGGTCTGGGGGTCCCCCCCCAGAAGAAAATCTAAATTTGAAAAGAATTTCCTGCCTAAAATATTTTAAAAATCACTAACACATAGAATGGACTGTTTATAATTTTTTTACAATAATGTCTAATAGTGTATTGTATTACATTGCTCTGTTTTTTTCTTTTTTACCTTTTGTTTCATTGTATGTAATGGCAGAGATTAATAACAATATAAACAGAAATATATTTTATACCAATATATTGGGGGGGATATTTTGAGCATATTTGAATATTGGGGGGGATGTGTCCCCCCAAATATATGTTATAATTACAGCCTTGGATTGTGTGATGCGGTACAGGAGGATACGGAGCTGAGTAGACTTGTCAAAGACCAGTACCAGCTCTCTGCGGAGGAGGCTCGTGAAGGACGCTGCTGGGCAGTTGGAGCCAATCGCCCTCCAGCAACAACGGAGGGTGGAGGAGCGACGTTTACAACGAGCGGAGTGCCGGGCAGATAAATGCAGAAAGTCGACACAGTGGGAAGCACAGTTTGTGCACGTGTCGGTTATCTCAGTCAGTCAACCAATGGCACCTGGGTCTGTCCCGTGACCTGCCAGTGAAAGGCTTCGACATTTCACGTGGCCTCAAAAGTGCACCTAGCCTGGCACAAACGTGTCAGGTGAACGTGGCCACCACTCGAGTGGTGAATGGCGGCTGTTGTTGTTGTTGAGCGTGTGGAGTGGAGTTTGTTTCATCCCGAGTTCTCCGGTTTCCTCCCACATGCGCGGTGTAACTTGGTATATTTACCAAACATCCCCAACGCCGAAAAATATAAAAACTAATCTGCAAATAACTCAATGTGGAATCACAGCAGCAGCAGTGGCAATATCGCCCGCCCCCCTCCCCCCCGACTGCAAAAACACTTGGCAGGACCACCCCTCCTGATAAATGAGTCTTCAGACTCGGTGAGGTTCTCTCCTCTGGGTAAGCAAGCGTCGTCATGATGCAATGAAGGACTCCGAAAGCCGCACTTCTTGGATTAAGTTTATTGCCCTTTAACAACAACGTCCATTGCCCACCACCGGCCAACACCACTCCCTTGCTTTACCTCTCCCCCCACTTCCTCCCACTTATCCTCCCATCCCTCCCACCTCTCCAATCCCCTCTGCTCCCCTTCCTCACAGTCCCTCGACACCTTGCCTCTTTCAAATATCCCCCACCTCCCTCCCTTTCAAACCTTCCAACTAATCACCATCTCACAAGCCACATCATCATAGCTATCTTTATGCAGTAGCGCCCCCCCCCCCCCACGTGGTGGTTATGGTGTTAATCATATCCATGTCACCCCTATGTCCTACAAAGACGCTATCCAAGGATGTCTAACATCCTTACAATAATAAAAACACACGCATGAGGCTGGAGCCTCCAAAACTACGGTCCCTGCCCCCCATCCTTCACCCCCATGCCCCTTGGGTCCACGTGGTTCTAAAAACCTCTCGGTTTAAATGAGAAAAATGGCATTACATGCTGCACTTGCCCGATGATTGCTAAACCCCTGCACGCGACGGGAGAGAAACTGCTGAATCGATTATAGCGCCCTCATGAAGGTCACGTGTGTGTGTGTGCACGTTATGTCGATGTGTTGGTGATGTGTGTGTCACGTGGAGGTCACGTGTGTTGTCACTTGTTTCATGTGGAGGCCACGTGTCACATGTCTGTCAGAGGTCACGTGCATCACAGGGAGGTCATGTGGAGATCACATGGAAGTCACGCTTGCCACGTGGATGTCACGTGTGTGTCACTTGTGTCACGCGGAGGTCACGTGTGTCACTTGTGTCACGCGGAGGTCACGTGTGTCACTTGTCACGTGGGAGTCACGTGTGTGTCACTTGTGTCACGCGGAGGTCACGTGTGTCACTTGTGTCACGCGGAGGTCACGTGTGTCACTCGTGTCATGTGGATGTCACGTGTGTCACTTGTGTCACGCGTGTGTCACTTGTGTCACGCGGAGGTCACGTGTGTCACTTGTGTCACGCGGAGGTCACGTGTGTGTCACTTGTGTCACGCGGAGGTCACGTGTGTGTCACTTGTGTCACGCGGAGGTCACGTGTGTCACTTGTGTCACGCGGAGGTCACGTGTGTCACTTGTGTCATGTGGATGTCACGTGTGCATCACTTCTGTCACGTGGATGTCATGTGTGTGTCACTTGTGTCACGTGGAGGTCACGTGTGTGTCACTTGTGTCACGCGGAGGTCAGTGTGTGACTTGTGTCACGTGGATGTCACGTGTGTCACTTGTGTCACGTGGATGTCACGTGTGTGACTTGTGTCACGTGGATGTCACTTGTGCGTCACTTCTGTCACGTGGAGGTCACGTCTGTGTCACTTGCCACGCGGAGGTCACGTGTGTCACGTGGATGTCACGTCTGTGTCACTTGTGTCACTTGGAAGTCAAGTGTGCATCACTTGTATCACGCGCACGTGTGTCACTTAGCGGGCTGGCGTGTCAATTGTGCGCGTACACGTGACACGCGCCTACACGTGACACGCGCCTACACGTGACACGCGCCTACACGTGACACGCGCGTTACGGTGGCCAGTGAAGGATGAGCGCCGCAGAAGTGGAGCTCACTCGAGCGCTCATATCCTGAGTGGGCGACGCTCCCCGCACGGTGCCGCCGCTGCCACCGCCGCCACCACCAGGATGAACCTCGCCGGGCCCTTTCCGCACACAGGAGGGGGTCGCGAGCCGTGGGAGTGCCACAGCTTGTGCCTTCTCGTCATATTACCTCACGCCATCTCGTGTCGTCTCGTCGTGCCATCACGTGGTGGCACGACGAGATGACAATCATCTCATACCCGTCTCACCTCGCGTCGTATCGTCGCGTCATATCGTCTCGTCGTGCCTTCTCGTCGCCGTCGCCTCCGCGGCCGCCACGTCGTGGCCGTCACGTCGTGGCCGTCACGTCGTGGCCGTCACGTCGTGGCCGTCACGGCGTGGCCGTCACGTCGTGGCCGTCACGGCGTGGCCGTCACGGCGTGGCCGTCACGGCGCGGGCCGCGAGCTGTGGAAGATGCTTCGCGATGTCGCCTCCCGCCGCATGGCGTCGCGGCGCCGCCTCCACACGCGGATCACCTCCTCGTCCGCCTCGTCAAACTCTGCTCCGTTCGGGGACGCCGCCTCCACCTCCGCCCCCTCCTCCTCTGCGTGACCTGCAGGGGGAAGCGAGGACATCGTCAGGTGGCTCCCTCCCGTCCTGAGGACTCGCCCGCAAGAGCCTTATATCGGCAAACTCGGCGCCACCTTCCTCCCTCCTTGCCCAACCTGTGCAGGTGCCCTCCCGTATAATTCGTTCTTGCACGGCTACATCCCCCCCTAGGCTCTGCTGGAACGATCCGGCGGGGGTTCGGTCACACCCAGTTTTAACTAACACGGCCGCCTCTCATTAGGGGGCACGGATCGATGCTCGGCGATAATTGTTGCTCCCCCCCCCCCCCAAAGCATCCTCGCATAGCCAGGAATTTTCCATAGCGGCTCTAGTGGAAGATTGCCCCCCAAGCCCTGCTTGGTCAAATGATAACAAGCGCCGCCCCACGAAACAGCTGCCGTGGTAAACCACCGAGGGGCATTCTCATCGCGGCGCCCTGAGTTTGATTCCCAACTCAGGTGCCGCGGTGACCAGATGTTAACTTTCTCACTTGGTATGAAGGAGGTGGTGGGTTCGATCCCAACTCTGATGCCTGCTGCATATTTGGAGTATATGTGTCTTTCTATCTTCCCGTGGTCATGTGGATTTTTCTCTGGGTTTTTCCCTCCACATTGAGAAACACGTGTTAGTATTTGGCTGCTATAAATTTCCACGTGATAAGCCACCTCGTTGAGCTAACATTTGTGGCCAGGTCGCTTCTGAAAAAGAGCTATATGGCTCAGTGGACCTTACTGCTAAAAAAATCAATTTGTTTTATAGTAATAAAGTATTAAAGCTTTCGTGACTGCATAAAATTACTCATTGGTTTTTCCGGTAAAGTCACGTATGTAGAAATACAATAAAATTATATTAAAACAAAAAACAATCACGACGTTTTGATCACAACGCAAGCGATCTTCATCAGGTGTAAAGAACAAAATCACGGAGGTAAATACAACAACAAGATGAGAGACGAGAATTCAACAAACCTGAAAAAACATTATGTGAAGCACATCCAGTCAGGCCAACAACACAGTTAGACACTTCCTGGCGGACCACGAATTTCAGAAGAGTGTTAAATTTCGTGTTCAGCCTTTGGATTGCACATACCAGCATAGATAGAATGAAAAATACGAGGTACACGGTCAGTAGAAATACATATACAAGTCCACCAAGAGGTAAGGAGGGAGGAAAGATGGATAGGGAGGCAGAGAGATGGGGGGGGGGCAGAGGGATGAACAGAAGCTTAAATAGGAAATACGGTTGGAGGGGGGGTAGGGGCCAGAGCGAGAGCGGCAGCTCAAAAACGCACATCTTATACAAAACAGCAGCTCAAAAAAGGACCACCTCTTGTAAATACAAAACGGCAGCTCAAAAAATGACCACCTCTTGCAAATACAAAACGGCAGCTCAAAAAAGGGCACATCTTACACATAATTACAACGGTAACTTCCCCGTAGACTTTACCGAAAAAACCAATGAGTAATTTTATGCAGTCACGAAAGCTTTAATACTTTATTATCACACTTCTACGGGGAAGTTACCGTTGTAATTATGTGTAAGATGTGCCCTTTTTTGAGCTGCCGTTTTGTATTTACAAGAGGTGGTCCTTTTTTGAGCTGCCGTTTTGGATGTGTAAGATGTGCGTGTTTGAGCTGCCGCTCTTGCTCTGGCCCCTCCTCCCCCTCCAACCGTATTTCCTATTTAAGCTTCTGTTCATCCCTCCGGCCCCCCCCCCCCCCTCTCTCTCTGCCTCCCTGTCTGTCTTTCCTCCCTCCTTACCTCTTGGTGGACTTGTATATGTATTTCTACTGACCGTGTACCTCGTATTTTTCATTCTATCTATGCTGGTATGTGCAATTCAAAGGTTGAACACGAAATTTAACACTCTTCTGAAATTCGTGGTCCGCCAGGAAGTGTCTAACTGTGTTGTTGGCCTGACTGGATGTGCTTCACATAATGTTTTTTCAGGTTTGTTGAATTCTCGTCTCTCATCTTTTTGTTGTATTTACCTCCGTGATTTGTTCTTGACACCTGATGAAGATCGCTTGCGTTGTGATCGAAACGTCGTGATTGTTTTTTGTTTTAATATAATTTTATTGTATTTCTACATAAGTGACTTTACCGAAAAAAACAATGAGTAGTTGTTTTATAGTTTATCGTTTAGTTTAGGTATCTTTCTGCATGGAGTTTGTACGTTCTCCCCCTGTTCTGCATAGTGTGTGTGCCTGCCCTCGACACTTCACGCGGCCTCAAAGTGCACCTTAGCCTCGCACAAGCACCGTGGAAATGTCACCGCCACTTAGTGGCAAATGGCAGCTGTTGTTGTGGTTGTTGTGCGAGTGGGGAGTGATGACGTAGGAGTTAGCATGCAGCACTACGGACCCAGCGACCAGATTTCGATTCCCACTCACGGCCAACTCCAGTGACGATTGTCTTAACTGGTTCCGGGTCTCTCCTAGGTCAGCTAAGTCACAAATGAGCAACTGGTGCGGTGTGTAAACATCGCCACTAAAGTAGACAATACACGACGTTTCAGGCAATTATATTCTTGCTCATTCAAAGTTTTAACAGAAGGCATTTTGGTGATAGGGCCTGGGTTCTGTTCTATATTAAATAGGAAAAGAATCAGCAGAAAGCACTTGGTGATGGTTGCTCGGGCTCACAGATCGATCGCTCTGCAATGAAGGGATGGCCACTGCCCAAAACATCACCTATTATTATTACATATACATGCGCACGTTTACACAGTGCACTGTTGAGTGTTGTTTGCTCATGAACAGCACTTTTCAACAAAGACTCTTTCCAGGGACCAGACCACAGACCTACCGCTCTGCGCCACTCTTAGTCATTGTTCTCGTTGTGATTGCCACGCTTGTGGTTGCCCAGGAGAGCCTCGGAGTCTCAAGGCCCCGGCTGCGCTCAGTACTCACCGGCACTGCCGCCACCGCCGTGCGGGCGCCGGGATCTGGAGACCACCTCCTCGGCCTCCACCTGGGAGACAACGCTCATCAGCTGGCGCTCCTCCCTCACGACGCCGCCGCCGCCACCCATCCCAGGTCGTCCCCGCCAACTCCCGGGGAGCGCCTCGCTGCACTCCTCGCTCCCCTCCCCGCCCGCCTCGCCCGTTTGCCTGAACGACTTCTTGAGCCGCTGGGCTCTGCACGTCAGCCTCTGCACCGACTCGAGGAGGCTGGCTGTCGTCTCTCCGTCGCCCTCTCCCACCTCCTCTTCGGCCCCCTCCCGCTGGTGCGCATCATTCCCCGACCCCTCCTCCTTCCTGCCAGTGCCATGCTTCTTCTTGAAGATGGTGCTGCGCTTGTTGCAGGCAGCGATGCGCTCCTCGGCGTAGCCGCTCATCATGCCCAGCACCTCGCTCCGCGTGCGCCGCTCGCTGCGCTCCAGGCGGCCCAGGTCCACCTCGTCCTGGAAAAGGGTGAACAGCGGCTTGCTTGTGCCACCTCCTCCACCTCCTCCTCCACATGAGAACCGAGAGGCGGCGCTCTCCGACCGCGAGCTCCACGCCTGTTGTCCGCTGAAGGACGCTGTCTCGCTCCCGTTGTGACCTCCACCGCCGTAGCTGTCGCGGCTCAGGTACGAGCGTCGGCTCGTCGCGGTCGCTGCGCTGCGGACAGAACTCTGCGCGCTGAACACCGATGATGTATCGTCGTCGTCCGCGTACGCCGGGTACTGCTGCGGCTGCTGCTGCGGCTGCTGCTGCTGCTGCGGCTGCTGCTGCTGCGGATGCTGCGGCTGTTGCTGTGGCGGCAGCCGAGCGGCCTCCTCCCTGTCTGCATCCTCTCTCTCTATGCCAGCGAGGATCCCGCGGCTGCGCTCCAGCGCCTCCTGCAGTCGCTCGGCAGCGCCGGGCTTTTTGAGCGCCTTGGCCGCCGCCGCGGGCGGCTCGCACGTGAGCGCAACGATGTCGTCCGACATGTCCGTGCGCAGCTTCTGCTGGCGGCCCAGCTTCCAGCGCTGGTAGGCCGCGAGGTCCGGCAGGCCCGGGTCCGGCTGCGGCGGGTCTGGCGGCGCCGGCGGCTGCTCCGCGTCGGCACCTTCCCTGCCTGCGCGCCGGGCTGCTTGCCGGGGCGGGAATGCCTTGTCGAAGGCCCGGTTCCGATCGTCCAGCTCGCGCTTCTTGAGGCGCCAGCGCTGCACGGGTGTGAGGCCGCCCAGCACCTCCTCGCGGCCGCCATAGAAGCTGAAGTTGGACTCGGTGTCTTCGTCGTCGTCCGCGCGCCATCTGGGCACACCGCCCTCCATCGGGTCCAGCGACACATCCGTGCTCGCCCTCGTCCAGCTGCTGCCGCCGCTGCCCTCCGACGCAAGGGAGTCTCTCCTGCCCGCGCTACGAGCCGGTGTCCGCCCGCCCCACTCCCCACCTCCCCGTCTGCTCTCCTCATCCTCTGTGGACAGCCCGGCCCGAGAGCGACCGTCCCCCTGGCCCAGCGTCTCGTTGCGACGCCTCCACTCCCGAATGATCTGATCCACCTCGTCGTCCGAGTCCGCAGGCCGCGGGCGCCGGCCGTCGGTGCCGTCGTCTCCCGCGTGCTCACTCTCCCGGCCGCCGGGATGGCCGTCTCCGTTGGATGGCGCAGCGAGAGGAGATTTCTGCACTTGGCCGGACACCTCGAGATGCTCGCTCTCGAACGCCTGGGAGCCGGAGAACCGGCTGCTGGCGCGGCTCGCGACGCTGCGGCCCGGCTCCGGCTCGTCGTCCCGTGTCGACTCGGACCATAGCCTCCTCCGCCTACTGCTCCCGCTGAGCAGCGAGGAGGAGCGCAGGAGAACGGTACTTGCGCCATCGCTGTCGGTGTCGCACACCTCCATGCGCGCGTGAAGCGACCCCGCCCAGGAGCGCCGCCGCTCCTCTGTGCCGCTCGCCACGCTGCTCGCCACGCTGCTCGCGTCGTCCTCGCGGGAGGTCCACCGCCGCCGCTTGTCCACTTTCTCCTCCAGCAGGTGGCTCGTCGCCCGCTCGCGCACATGCACCACGCTGCTGCCGCCGCTGCTGCTGCGGCCGCTGCTGCTGCCCCCGTCCCCGTTGCCGGTGGCGGCATCGTTGTTGCGGCGGCGACCTTCGCGCGCCGTCGAGGCCGGCTCGACGCCACGCTCGCTCAGCAGCTTCTCGTTCAGCTCCCGCAGCTGCCTGCAGTCACACCAGGCAGCAGCAGCCACAGCAGCAGCATCAGCAGCAGCAACAACAGCAGCCACACGGAGCAGCAGCAACAGCAGCAGCAACAGCAGTTGTGACGCTCGCGCCTCGTGAGCCTTTCTGTGCGTGGTGTTTGTATGTAAGTCCTCCAGGTTCTCTGGTTTCCTCCCAGAGCTAAAAATGCACACGCACAGCAGAACGGTTATTGGCCAAAAACATTTCAATGCTGAACATTTTTTCCTGCATATCAATGAATGTGGGATCACACACAGCAGCAACAGGAGCAACTTTGTCCCGTACTACTGCAACAATGTGGCAGGACCCTTGTGAGTCTTGAAACTCGGGCTAAGGCTCTCCTGGGGTGAACAAGCACCATTAACGGGCTCCGGGATTCTGACGCGGCGAGGGTGGCGTTCAGTTCACTTCATTTAAGTTGCACCCCCCGGTTTCTCCCTCCCCCATCTCTGGGAGACCATGTCGCTTCCGACGGCATCGTACGCTCCGGCCCTCGTCCGACGTTTCAATCGTGTCCCGGATAGTAAATGAGAATCACGGTTACGCTTTTAAGCGCCGATGTAATTTATAAAGCTCACAGGGTATCTAGCCTGGTACCGGCAGTATGAGCGCTCTGCTGACAGTGGCAAACGGTGTCTGCTGTTGAGGTGTGCATGTACGTATGCATGCGCGCGTGTGTGACCTGGTCAAGGCCTATGATACCATCAATAGGCCTCGGCTCTGGGTTGTTCTTCGTGCTTTTGGAGTCCCTGACCCCCTGCTCATGATCATTAAGGACCTTCATGATGGAGAGCGGGCCCGGGTAAAACTACGTGGCCGGGAGTCAGAGCCATTCCCTGTACACCTTGGGGTGCGACAGGGATGTCCTCTGGCTCCCACATTATTTAACATCTATTTGACCACGTAGTTCGTGAAGCTTTCAATAGCTGTACCAGGGGAATCTCCATTTGGTACAGATATAATGGGAGGCTGATCGATGCCCGGGTGCGGTCAAGGGATGGCTCCGTATTGCTCAACCACGTTATGTATGCCGATGATTTGGTAATAGCTGCTCATTCAGAGGAGGAGTTGGAGACGCTGCTGCTGAGACTGTAGCGTGCCACTAAGAGATGGGGCCTTACCATCAGCCCCACCAAAACTAAGCACCTGCCTGGGTATTTTGTACCATCGGACACTCCACCCCCACAACTCCCAATCGGTGATGGGGCAGTTGTGGAGAGAGTGGAGAGTTTCCCATACCTGGGCAGTGTGCTTATGACCGGCTCCAGTTTAACAGCAGAGGTCTTACTCCGAATCAGTCGAGCGGCAATATCTTTTTATCGGTTGCGTAGCGCTGTGTGGAAGCTACCTGGTCTGTCGCTCCGCACTAAGCTTCAGGTCTTCTCGGACACGGTCATTCCCTCCCTTCTCTATGCTTGCAAAACGTGGACCCCCTTAATGGAACATCTTCGCCGGTTAGAAACATTTAGGCTAGCCTGCCTACAATCCATCCTGGGTTTAACCAGCTGGATTGTGTGAGGAGCTCACAAATACTTGAAAGATCTGGACAAAGTCCCATTGGTGAACTCCGGCAGGCAAGGCTGCGTTTGCTGGGTCATTGCAGACCACATGCCCAGCCACCAAATGCCTAAACAGCTTTTGTTTGGCCAGACAGAGGGGGCTAAACGGGCGCGGCACGGACTAGAGAAGAGATAGAGGGATGTGGTACAAGAGGATGTGGAGCTGGTGGACTTGCCGATGACTGGTACCAGCGATGTTAACATCGGCCTCTGTGGAGGAGGCTCGTGAAGGATGCTGCGCTACTGGGCAGTTGGAGGCAGTCGCCCTCTAGCAACAACGGAGGGAGGTGGAGCGATGCTCACAACAACGAGCGGAGCATCAGGTGGCTAAAACACAGCAAGTTGGCACAGTAGGGGACACAGGTGGTGCATCTGCCAGTCATCTCAGTCAGTCAATCCATGGCACCTGGGTCTGTCCTGCCAGTGGGCGTTCGACACTTCACGTGGCCTTAACGTGCGCATAGTCTGGCACAAGCACCGTGGTGACGTCACCGCCACTTAGTGGCATGCTGTGTGTGTGTACGCGCGTGCCTTAGGAAGCCCTCGTTTGGAGAGACCGGTCGCTTGAGCCGGATCCTGGTGAGCGCCTCCAGCAGGGGCAGGTGATGGTAAATCATGAGGTACGCGGCCACGAGCGCCGCCGCCCGGCTGTATCCCATCACACAGGTCACCAGCACCGTCCCTACCACACACACACAGGTTCCCAGCACTTATGAAGGCCAGCATGGTACACAAGTGGATGAGTGGCCAGGTCCACACTCGACTACCTTTGTGCCAATATGCATGTTTACACACCGGACCAGGCATTCATTTAAAGGCTGAGTCAACCTCGGGGAGGGCCCAGCACCGGTTCAAATAATCATCACCCGTGTCGGTAGCTGCGAGCGGGAATCAAATGCACGTCCTCTGCTAGGTTTCTACGCACAGCACAGTGCTAGCCGCTGCGCCACCGCTCCCTGTAGCTAGTGTGGGGGAGTTGAGTGGCTGAGTGCGACCACGGCAGAAATGCCTGCCCCCCCCCCCCCACTGTGGAGCCTGGCCCCTAACACAGCCTGTGGAGCCTGGCCCCTAATCCCAGCTCATTTACATCACCTGGCAAGGTAATCCGTATCAAGTTGGGCGTCACAAATCGCACACGCAGCCCCCACGGTACAAATCAGACCACACGCACACAGACACACACGTGTCATGTCATGTAATCTCTCTCCGGCTTTCAGATGCAATTATTGACACAGGTAGAGATGTACATGTGTCTACGTACGTATGGGAAGCAGTGGCACAGTGGTTAGTGTGCTGTGCTACGAACCCGGTGACCGACTTCAATCCCCGCCAACCGCCAACACCAGTGACAATTATCTGAACCAGTCCTGGGCCTCTTCCTGTCTTAAATAGAGTACCTGGTGCGGTGTTTAGTAAGCATCGCCTCAAGGCTAAGGCAGCCAGGCGTGGAGCTTGCCACCAGCTTTCACGTGGGCCATGTTGGCCTTCGTAGGTGCTTGATAACATTACTTTCCCCACACACTGTGCTCCGTTTCAACGTTTCCGCGTGCAACGAGACCCTGTATTTACCCAGAGGGCCCAGCGGAACCACACAGGGTCCTACAAAGCCCATAGGCACCACAGAGGGCCCTTTAAGGCCTAGCGGGCCGTGCAGGGCCCAAAGGCACCACATATGGCCCTACAAGGCTGAGGGCCCTACAAAGCCAAGAGGAACTGCACAGGGCCCTACAAGGTCCAGAGGGCCCTAACAAGGCACAGATGAACAACACAAGGCCCTAGAAAGCCCAGAGCCACCACACCAGAGCCCTATGAGGCCCAGATGCTCCTACAAGGCCCAGATGACCCTACAAGGCCCAGAGACACCACACAGGGCCCAACAAGGTCACTACGTACACCTGTAATCCATTGCACACAGATGCCATGAAACTCCCATCCCATGGGCATCGAGGAGCCATTCCCTGGCTCGTTAGGAGAAGGCAGTACAGCAAACACGTGGACTCCACCCGTTCTATCTGTATGGGATAGAGTGCTGCCCCCCTTCGCATGTTTTCGGTTTTCTTGGGTGCTCTGGTTTCCTCCCAATAACATATTAATACAGAGGACCATAGAGCTTGGGCAATTCTTGGTAGCACTGGCTCATCGCCCGCATGACTGCTGCTGCTTTCCCGCTCATCTGTAGTCCCTCCTCCTCCTGGTGCCTCCCAAGTTGTCCTCTCTTTCCCGCTGTCTCTCTCTACGAGAGGAGTGCACGAGTGAACGCTGCACCATAGTGGCAAATGCTGAGCAGCGTTCCGAATTTGACGATCGTTGTTAATTCTCATTGCATTCACATCAGCTGGGCAGTGTGGTGCCCGGCCACCACAGCACCATTCACGTTGAGAGAGAGAGTAGCTGTTTTAATCAGTGGGCGGCAGAGTCGAGGCCTAGCGCGCGCACGCGGGTAGGGGGAGGGGGAACAGCCCGGTCGCGTGTCCTGGCCGATCGATCAATCTCATTGTCAGGGAGCCCACGGCAATCACCGCCAGGCTCCCACCCCCCACTGCCCGTTCATACCCGTGCCCCCCACCCCCCAGGGTCAAAAGGTGGCGGCAACCGTACTGGCGGCTGGACCATTACATTATTCATGACGCGCGCACGTGCGTAATGAATAACGCTTTAATGCAATAGCCATATCAATAAGTGATATTCCAGTACATCTTTAAGGTCCGCCTCCGATTCTGGTGTTTAAGTTCTGCGGCTTCCCCGTGAATGGCTCACCACCCCCACCACCCCCACCACCTGGCCGGTCCCCACCACAGAAATTCAAACAGTAGTCTCCTATTTGGGGGTCATGGTGTTGGTCAATAAGTGATTATTTACGTGGGTGATTATTAATAATTAATTATGCTTGTTCGCCCAGGGAAAGCTTCAGCAGTCTCAAGGCTCGTTAATATAGGTTTTTTTGGGTTAGATCGCGTAAATGTGTCGTTAAACCCGCCACTACCCGACACGGCCAATTAGTAAGGATTTTCACGTAAATAGAACGTGCCAATTCGTTACTAGTACAGCACACCGGTGTGTTGGAGAGCAAATCCACAACATTTACAACCTGAGTATGACGTTTTGCCAGTAATTTCAACTAGCATCATTAGGCGGACAGCCAAATTTGTCCTACCAAGTGTTTCGCAGTATGGGAGGGGCAATGCTGCTGCTGTGTGATTCCATTGAGTCATTTGCAGGTGCATTTTTCGGAATATTTTGGCTCAATATCATTTACATTGTATGGGGGTTTTTTTGTTTAGCTATGGGAGGAAACCCTGTGAAAATCTGTCAGAATCCCATGCAGAACAGAGAGAGAACAGTTACAGGCCTCTAGAGCACCCTGGGCTAGTAGGCCTGCCACGCCTGGTTTGCCTGCCCAGTTCCTTGCACCTTCGCGGGCAAGGGTAAAACCTGGGTAGTCCAAAGTCTCTTACCGTCTTCATCATCACCATCATCAGTAGCTATGATCTATCCACTGCTGAATTAAGACCATTGAGACCCATGAGTTCGCATCGTACATAGCCAACCGTGCTAATCGAAGGTGTGGAAGAAGGAAAACTAAACACACCAAGACGTTAAATTTTGATTTAAAGCTTTCGTGACTGCAGTAATTCACATTCTTAGCTCTTTCGGTAAAGTCACGTTGAAGGGAAACAATAAAATAATAAAATATATTAAAAATACAAATTCTCACGACGTTTCGACCATAACACAAACGGTCATCATCAGGTGGTTTTTCACACCTGATGATGACCGTTTGTGTTATGGTCGAAACGTCGTGAGAATTTTTATTTTTTATATATTTTATTATTTTATTGTTTCCCTTCAACGTGACTTTACCGAAAGAGCTAAGAATGCACCAAGACGTTGTAAAGAAATTACTTTTCAGTCTAGATTTAAAAGTGCATAGCTTCAGTGGCTTCCTAATGTCAGAGGAACAGCGTTCCAGACGGTCTTAGAAGCGCATCTGAAAGCGCGGGATGCAGTGACCGATGGTGAGCCAAAAGCCGCTGCGAGGATGACCGGAGTTCGCGTGACGGTTTATGCTCCTTGATGAGATCAGCGAGGTATTGTGGTTGATTTGTGGAAAGCACTTTTCAGTGGAATGAGTAAGACCTTATAAAAGCTCTCCTGTTTCACTGCACTACAGCTCATGGTGGAACCCTCCCCCTCCTCAGCGCTACCCACAACCTCCTCTCTCCAACAAGTTCCAGAACCGATACTCCTGGGGCGTCGTTTCTCCGAGGCAGCCCCTGCCATCCGGAACGCAACTATCACCATCGTCCCGCTGTTGCTGCACGTTCGTAGCAGCAGCAGCAGCAGCTAGCAGTGGCTAGCAGCAGCAGCAGCAGTGTTCAATCGAAGAGACACTTAAAGGGCCCACCTTATTCACCAGGCTTTTGAGGGACACCGAGATTGGCTCTGCACCTCAGTCATGGGCATTTATGTCCGTGCAATATTTTGCGCGTTATTAATTGCATAATTGTAGATTCCTCCACCCATGTGGTGGACTCTGCCTGTACCCAGACCCTGTTTCATCTGGACCATTTGGTTTGTGTTCAACCACCGTACTGCAGGGTCACAACGACAAGCTCACTCACAACCAAGACAAAAGATCCCCCTTGTAGCCTTAACAGACTGTTTGGGCAAGTACTGTTTGGGAGCATCTATGAAGGCCGGAATGGCACACGAGGGGGTTGGTGGCCAGCACTATGACCGGCCGCCTTTGTCTCCCGAGTGGGGATCTTTACACACCACATTAGGTACTAATTGAGGCTGAGTCGACCTAGGGGAAGCCCAAGACCGGTTCAGAATTGGTCGTGAGCAGGAATCGAACTCTGGTCGCCAGGTTCATAGCGCAATGCGCTAACCATTACACTAGCACTCCACTCACCCACTCACACACCCATCCACTCAGTCACCCACTCACCCACTTGCTCGCTCACCAGACTGCAGGTCACCTGACTTCTCTTTCCACCTCTTTCCTCGCATTGTCCCACCCTGGAATTCCCTCCTCCCTTCATCATAATCGCCTCTTTTTTTTCCCACCAAACTCTTGCAACAATACACAGTAAAATCCACTCCACTCAAGAAACGGCACTACAATCACATAAATTACAACTGAGGGCAGATGGTGCCGAGTTAATCCCCCTCAACCAGGATGCGAACTCCTCCCGATCGTGAGCCCGCTCGTTCTACTGCTGAGCAACAACCACCTGGCGGGATTCAGATATCACTCCGACGCTGGCCGGGGGCCGGGGTTCAGAGAGAGAACAGCGCCCTGACCGCGGCACCACCGCTCCGCCATCTGTCCATGGGTTTTTTCCCTGCGAGCCGTCTGCCGGCCACCGCCTCCTCCCCCACAACCCCCACCCCCGCCACGAACCTCCGCTCAGCACCGTGATTAATGTGCTGCCAAAATCAATGTTTAAATAAAGCCGTCATTAATTTATTTATTATCATTATTATGCGACCCATTCAAGTCACTCATTGTGTGGCGCTGGCGGTGATGCGGTGGTGACGGCTCGCCCCTCGCAGCAAAAGAAGGGGGCCTGGGTTCGATCCTTGACTCGGGGAGCCTTCTTTCTGCGTAGAGTTTGAACGCTCAACTCGTTGGACTTCATCCAGCAGTGGATAGATGATAGCCGCTGCTGCTAATGATGATGGAGATGGTGCAAGGACCTGGGGAGGCAAACCAGGTGATGCAGGTCTATCCCCCAGTGGCTCTAGAGGCTTTGTTCTCCCCACCGTGCTGCGTGAGGTGGCCTCCGGGATCTGCGGTTTCCTCTCATAGCTAAAAAAACCCACGAATAGTGGAAACGGAATTCGCCCAAACATCCAAATGCTGGCAAGTTACCTGTACATTACTCTATGTGGGATCACGCACCAGCAGCAACATCGCCCGCTCCGACTGAGAACAACTTGGCAGGACCTTCCTGAGTAAACTGCATAATTATTTACACGTAATAAATAACACTGTTCAAAGGTGAGAGTTTAATTGCGCCAATTGCACAAAAAAGACAAAAAAACCCCCTACAGACTGTTCGGGCAAGTACTGTTAGTGAGCACCTATGAAGGGTGACCCGGCACACGAAGGGGTGGTTGACCAGCACCACGCCCGGCCGCCTTTGTCTCCCCAATGGCGATGTTTACTACACACTGCACCAGGTACTGATTTGATGTTGAGTCGAGGCCCAGGACCGGTTCAGATAAGAATTAATCGTCACTGGTGTTGGTTGCTGTGAGCGGGAATCGACCTCGGGTTGTTGCTGGGTTCATAGCGCAGCGTGTTAACCGCTGCACCACCATTCCCCACACTGGAGGGTGGAGCGTGGGTGGAGAGATGGTGGAGCGAGGGTAGAGCGAGGGTGGAGCATGGATGGAGTGACAGTGGAGCGAGGGTGGAGCGAGGATGGAGCGTGAGTGGGGCGTGGGTGGAGTAAACGTGGAGCGTGGGTGGAGCGCGGGTGGAGCGAGGGTGGAGCGTGGGTGGAGTAAACGTGGAGCGTGGGTGGAGCGTGGGTGGAGCGAGGGTGGAGCGTGGGTGGAGTAAACGTGGAGCGTGGGTGGAGCGAGGGTGGAGCAGGGGTGGAGTGTGGGTGGGGCGTGGGTGGAGCGGGGGTGGGGCGGGGGTGGAGCGAGGTTGGAGAGGGTGGAGTGCAAGTGGAACACCGGTGGAGCGAGGGTGGAGCGTGGTTGTAGCGAGGGTGGAGCGCGGGTGGAACGAGAGTAGAGCGAGCAAGCGTGTGCGGTACCCTTGTGGGTGAGCAGGGCCTCATCGATGAAGGCGGCCGCCGGGTAGAAGTGGCCGCTGATGTCGAAATCGGGGAAGTCGTCGGCGGGCACGGCCAGGTAGGCGAGCTCCATACCGCGGTAGAACTCGTGGCCCGTGAACACGCCGGTGCCGTGCGCCGCGTTCACCACGTGCGTCACCGCCATGCGCTTGAGCCGCGCGCGGTTCATGGCCACGCTCCTGGGGACGGCGCCACACAAAACGGAAAAAGGTCCTCACCCCCCTTTTTTGTTATTTAAGGCTGAGTCCACCTAGGGGAGGTCCAGAACCACTGCCACTTTTATTTGTCACGGGGCACAGCGCAGCGTTCACCACTGCGCCACTGTTCACCCGCACACCCGTGTGTGTGTGTGTGTTTTAACACACAGGATAAAGAACCCCCGTACAGCCTAGCAGACTCGGGGCAAGTATGCTAGGCTGCTGTTAAGCTAGCGGCCCCTACGAGGCGGGTGGGTGGCCAGCACCGCCACGCCCGGCCGCCTTTGTCTCCCCCAGTGATTAATACTTTACACACACACGCCACAAATTTTCGACCTAGGGGAGGCCCAGAACTGTTCAGAAAATATCGCTGCCAATTTTATTGGTCAAGAGCACAAAGCAACGCTAACCACTGCGCCACCGCTCACCCTCTAGCCTTCACAGACTGTTGGGGCAAGTGTTGTTAGCGAGCAGCACCTATGAAGACCGGCACGGCACACGAGGGGGTGGGGGGGCAACACCACGCCCGGCTGGTGATGATGTTTACACATCGCACCAGGTACCCATTTGAGGCCGAGTCGACCTAGGGAAGGCCCGGGACTGGTTCAGATAATCGTCATTGGTGTTGGCCGTCAGCGGGGATCGAACTCGGGACACCGGGTCCGTGGCGCAGCGTACTAATTGCTGCGGCACCACTCCCCGCCGCGTCACACACCTAGCAGCCGCATCCCTGCACCAATGAGTGAACTTTCCCTATTTTATTTAAATCGAGGAACCCCACGAGAACAGGGTGATGAGAACGTGCACACGCCACGCAGACGGAAAGGCGCCCGGGAGGTCTCGAACCCAGTGTCCCCAGCCCACTTTCTTGCCGTGAGACGCGAGCGTCCGCACCACCGCAGCGCCGCCCTGCCGCCCAAAACCAGGAAGATGAATTCAATTCGGAGGCGAATGTTAACCCATTGATGCACGGTAAATGGGCAGCGTGGCACCCTTACTGAAGCGAGCGGCCCCGGGGCAGCATGCTCGCGCCCTCTGCTGGCTGCTGCTGCGAAAGATGAGCAAAGGCAAAGATCCTCCCACCCCCGGTCGAGCCTGGACAGGCGCCTCATGGCCTCTCTATCTCTCTGGCCTCTCTATGTCTCTGGCCTCTCTATCTCTCTGGCCTCTCTATGTCTCTGGCCTCTCTATCTCTCTGGCCTCTCTATGTCTCTGGCCTCTCTATCTCTCTGGCCTCTCTATCTCTCTGGCCTCTCTATCTCTCTGGCCTCTCTATGTCTCTGGCCTCTCTATGTCTCTGGCCTCTCTATCTCTCTGGCCTCTCTATCTCTCTGGCCTCTCTATCTCTCTGGCCTCTCTATCTCTCTGGCCTCTCTATCTTTCTGGCCTCTCTATCTCTCTGGCCTCTCTATCTCTCTGGCCTCAATATCTCTCTGGCCTCTCTATGTCTCTGGCCTCTCTCTGGCCTCTCTCTGTCTCTGGCCTCTCCATCTCTCTGGCCTCTCTATCTCTCTGGCCTCTCTATGTCTCTGGCCTCTCTATCTCTCTGGCCTCTCTATCTCTCTGGCCTCTCTATATGAACGTAATGACGGTACACCGGTGGTGCGTAGTAAAGTAAAAAAACCGCATTGTTTATTTTTTTTCCCACGATTCGCAACTCCGGTCAGAAATGTTGCAGGGTGGTGCGTCGAAATCAATTATCGTGATGTCGAAGCAGTCGGAAGACAGAATGTTATAACGAGCGGCTGAACACGAAGCTTCGCAGTCTGTTGCCGTATAGCTGTATAGCTGCTCCGTGTTCCAGTTTCATTTATTAGGTACTAGCTTTACTACCCGGCTTCGCCCGGGACTTGGATTCACCACGCCCGGCCGCCTTTGTCTCCCCAGTGGCGGTGTTCACACACCACAGCACTTACTCGTTTGTGGCTGAGTCGACCTAGGGGAGGCCCAGGACCGGTTCAAATAATCGTCACCGGTGGTGGCCGTGAGCGGGAATCGAACTCGGGTCGCCGGGTTCGTAGCGCGGCACGCTAACCACTACACTATAATGCGTTACGCTTCCACATGCGCGGGTCACATGACAGATTTGACGTCACAGCTCACTTGCCGTGCAAAAAATGAATTTATTATTGAGCTCCCGCCCCCCCCCCAAAAAGTGTATTTTGATAATTTTTGCATGGTGTACAGTCTAGAAAGTACCCACATGGCAAATTTCAAGTTTGTTGCATGTCGGGAAGTCGGCTAAACATTTTGAACAGACACACATAATCACAACTCTTTGGTTCTATTCGGTAAAGTCACGTAAAAAACAACAAAAAATCACGACGTTTCGGCCACAACACAAGTGGCCTTCATCAAGTGAAGGGACCAGACTGTCTAGAGGACAGCGCTGGAGTGAACACAGCCAAGCTCAGACCGCGACCTTTAAGCTGTGAGAGGAGGCAGAGCGCCTTGACAAAGGAATTAGCATAACATTAGCATTTAATTGGCGGACTTAGAATAGAACTAAAGAGTATGGATCCTTGCAGTCACGAAAGCTTTAAATCTAGAACATAATCACAACTTTGCCTTTTATATGTATGGAGATAGCCCTGTGAGCCATTCGGCTCTTGAATCAGACGCAACCGCAACAAACAAAAACATGAACAAAGGCAGATTTGACTCCTCGTGCCAGAGACTTGATCGGACAGTTCATCGATTCAACGGACCCAAATGAAAGGTCAATGTTGATCTTTTTTAGCAAGTCTCAGTCGACTCAACAAACCTTCGCATCGTGTTAAAATTGGCGACAGGGTCAATTAAAGACTAATAAAACAGATTTGCTGATTCAAATTTAGATTTTAGTCTGTTTTATGAGGACCGGTATATGTTATGATGCACGTCCATATACATGTGCGCTATGAAGAAGGCCTGTTGTCTCAAAGTCGCCCATTGCATGTATTTTGTTCTTGCTTGTAAGCCCACGTGTACGAACACGCCGTTATTATTCACAGGGAGTGTGTTGAGTTGTTGTTTGTGCACCACCTGTAGCGTCACCAGATGATTTGGAAAATAACGAATTGAGCTGACGCGAGACACCTCATTTCCAGGCTGTCCCTCCAACATAACTTTATTTATTGTACACATCCCATCAGTCACAGGGCCTTCCTTCTGGGAGTGCATTCCAGCAGCGTTGGTTCGGGCTTTGCTTGAACATTGCTGGTGAACTGTCTGGTAGTTTAAAAGGCAAGGACGCTGGGTGAATGTGTTTTGATACGGGTCCTAGTTTGACGCAAACCACTATAATACGCACCACAGCATGATCACCGGTGTCGGAATGTTCACCCCACATGCTCTCTGTCACTCTTCCTCTCCTCTCGCTATCGTGACTCACGAGATGGCACGCATGACAGCAGGTTCACTTCGGTGACACTCACACAGACAAAGACCCCCCGTATAGCCTTAATAGACTGTAGGGGCAAGTGCTGTTAGCGAGCACCTATAAAGGCCGGCACGGCACACGAGGGGGTGAGTGGCCAACACCACGCCCGGCCGCTTTTGTCTCCCCAGTGGCTGAGTCGACCTAAGGGAGGCCCAGGGCCGGTTCAGATAATCGTCACTGGTGTTGGCTGTGAGCGGCAATCGAACCCGGTTGCCAGGTTCGTAGTGCAGCGCGCTTACCGCTACACTACCGCTCCCCACAGATGCACACGGGGGGCCCCTACGCACACGTATGCTCACACTCACCCACACACTCGCTAGCTCACCCACACTCACCCACACACTTGCTCATCATTGCTCTCTCGCTCACCCACCCAAGCATGCTTGCTCACCCACACATTCGCTTCCTCACCCACACTCATTCACACTCGCTTGCTCACCCACACTCTCTCTCGCTCACCCACAATCACCCACTCACTCGCTCGCTCACCAGCTCACCCACACACTCGCTCGCTCACCAGCTCACCCACACACTCGCTCGCTCACCAGCTCACCCACACACTCGCTCGCTCACCCACTCACCAGCACACTCGCTCACCCGCTCACCCACACACTCGCTCGCTCACCCGCTCATCCACTCACTTGCTTGCTCACCCACACTCACTCACCCACATTCACCCACACACTCGCTCATCCACACTCACTCGCTCACTTACACGTCCCCGATGTAGATGCCGTCCCACACGAGGTCGGCCGCGTTCTTGGGCGTCTCCATGCGGCCCCCGGACAGCGCCCGCTGGATCTCCATGACGCTGGGCGTGCCGAAGCGGCCCGACTTGTCACTCTTGTCCTGCACGCGCCGGTACAGGTCCTCCACCAGCAGCTGCTCCGCGCACTCGCTGCGCCCGGGGCCTCCCGACTCCGCGAGCCGCATCTTGCGCTCGCCCAGGTCTGTGGGACACGGGACGTTTACAGCGGTGAGCACGGTAACGTGTTGGTTGGCTGCACGGGCCTTGCAAAGCCCCACCAGGGTGTTTCGCAGGGCTCTGCATGGGCCTCTGCACAGGCCTCTTCAAAGGCCTCTCAAGGACATGGACCTCCCACAGGCCTCTGGAAAAGCCATTGCATGGGCCTCTCACAGGACTCTGAACAGGCCTACACAAAGGCGTTTGCAGGCCACCCCAGGCAGCGGGGGGCCAGTGACGCATCGATTCATAGTGAAATTGATTCCCTGTTCATGATCAACGGATCTATTTTCGTTTTAGAAACATTGCACCTGTGTAATCCCTTGAGATGGAGCATTGAGGTGCAGCAAGGGTGTTCAAGGTGTCCAGGGTGCCCATTGACTCATGCATAGCAAACATGTGACGACACGTGTGCACACGTATTCTAAGGCCCACTGCTACTCCCTGCCCCCACGCCTCATATACGACCAGTCCTACCCCTATTACTACCCCAACCCTACCCCAACCCCCATTCCCTACCCCAACCCCCACCACTAACCCAATCTCTATCACTACCCCAACCCGACCCCAACCCCCATTCCCTACCCCAACCCCTATCACTACCCCAACCCCTATCACTACCCCAACCCTACCCCAACCCCTAATTCCTACCCCAACCCCTATCAAGACCCCAACCCCTATCACTACCCCAACCCTACCCCAACCCCTAATTCCTACCCCAACCCCTATCACTACCCCAACCCCTATCACTAGCCCAACCCCTATCACTAGCCCAACCCCTATCACTACTCCAACCCCTATCACTACCCCAACCCTACCCGAACCCCCACCACTACCCCAACCCCCACCACTACCCCAACCCCTATCACTACCCCAACCCTACCCCAACCCCCAATTCCTACCCAAACCCCCAATTCCTACCCCAACCCCTATCACTACCCCAACCCTCCCCGAACCCCCACCATTACCCCAACCCCCACCACTACCCCAACCCCTATCACTACCCCAACCCTACCCCAACCCCCAATTCCTACCCAAACCCCCAATTCCTACCCCAACCCCTATCACTACCCCAACCCTACCCGAACCCCCACCATTACCCCAACCCCCACCACTACCCCAACCCCTATCACTACCCCATCCCTACCCCAACCCACAATCCCTACCCGAACCCCCACCACTACCCCAACCCCCACCACTACCCCAACCCAACCCCCAATTCCTACCCCAACCCCTATCACTTCTCGGTGGCAGCCCCAACAGTCTGGAACGCTATCCCTCTGCACATTCGCAGCATCACCTCAATTGCCTCCTTCAAAAGACACTTTAAAAACTCACCTCTATAACCGCGCTTTCGAGCGACTCTGAGCTTGGCTCCGCGCCTCTGAGTTAAGGCCATTACGCCCGCAAATTTGTGCGCGTTATGAATTGCATTATTATTATTAACCCCAATCCTACCCCATTCCTACCCCAACCCCTACCACTACCCCAACCCCCACCACTACCCCAGCCCCCACCACTACCCCAACCCCCCCCCCCCCCACTACACAAACCCCCACCACTACCCCAACCCCCATCACTACCCCAACATCTATCACTACCCCACCACTACCCCAAGCCCCATCACTACCCCAACCTCCACCACTACCCCAACCCCCATCACTACCCCAACCTCTATCACTACCCCAACCCCCATCACTACCCCAACCCCCACCACTACCCCAACCCCTATCACTATCCCAACCCCCACCACTACCCCAACCCTAGCCCAATCCCCACCACTACCCAAACCCCCACCACTACCCCAACCCCCTCCACTACCCCAACCCCTATCACTATCCCAACCCCCACCACTACCCCGACCCTACCCCAACCCCCACCACTACCCCAACCCCCACCACTACCCCAACCCCTATCACTATCCCAACCACCACCACTACCCCAACCTCTATCACTATCCCAACCCCCACCACTACCCCAACCCTACCCCAACCCCCACCACTACCCCAACCCCCACCACTACCCCAACCCCCACCACTACCCCAACCCCTATCACTACCCCAACCCCCACCACTACCCCAACCCCCACCACTACCCCAACCCCACCACTACCCAACCCCTATCACTACCCCAACCCCCACCACTACCCCAACCCCCACCACTACTCCAACCCCCATCACTACCCCAACCCCCATCACTATCCCAACCCCCACCACTACCCCAACCCTACCCCAACCACATCACTACCCCAACCCCCACCACTACCCCAACCCCCATCACTACCCCAACCCCCACCACTACCCCAACCCCCACCACTACCCCAACCCCCACCACTACCCCAACCCCCATCACTATCCCAACCCCCACCACTACCCCAACCCCCACCACTACCCCAACCCCCATCACTATCCCAACCCCCATCACTACCTCATCCCTATCCCAACCCCCATCACTACCCCAACCCCTATCACTATCCCAACCTCTATCACTACCCCATCCCTACCCCAACCCCCATCCCTACCCTAACCCTACGCCAACCCCCACCACTACCCCAACCCCCATCACTATCCCAACCCCTATCACTATCCCATCCCCTCCTTAACCACTTCCACCTGTCCTGTCACCATAACTACACCACTACTTTTAATAACCCCACTCTTTTTTTAACCACTATCAACTTCTGTACAATTTTATCCTTGTTGTAAAGTGCCTTGGATGTAGGCCATATATAAATCTATATCAGATAAGTCAATAATAACTCGTACAGAGTAAGAAAATTAGGGCACACACACTTAACTACAGGGTAGGTGAGTGCGCGCACAGACTGACCTGCTGCCTAGACGATTGCATATACACACATTGAGCTACAGGGTAGGTGAGTGATCAACACACACACACACGGAGCTACAGGATAGATTAATTATCCACACTCGCACGGAGCTACAGGTTAGATGAGAGATCTACACACACACACGGAGCTCCAGGGTAGATGGGTGATCCACACACACACGGAGCTACAGGGTAGATGAGTGATCCCCACACACACGGAGCTACAGGGTAGATGAGTGATCCATACACACACGGAGCTACAGGGTAGATGAGTGATCTACACACACGGAGCTACAGGGTAGATGAGTGATCCACACACACACGGAGCGACAGGTTAGATGAGTGATCCACACACACACGGAGCTACAGGTTAGATGAGTGATCCACACACACACGGAGCTACAGGGTAGATGAGTGATCTACACACACACGGAGCTACAGGGTAGATGAATGATTTACACACACACGGAGCTACAGGGTAGATGAGTGATCCCCACACACACGGAGCTACAGGTTAGATGAGTGATCCACACACACACGGAGATACTGGGTAGATGAGTGATCCACAAACACAGAACTACAGGTTAGATGAGTGATCCCCACACACACGGAGCTACAGGGTAGATGAGTGGTCCACACACACACGGAGCTACAGGGTAGATGAGTGGTCCACACACATACGGAGCTACAGGGTAGATGAGTGATCCACACACACACGGAGCTGCAGGTTAGATGAGTGATCCACACACACACGGAGCTACAGGGTAGATGGGTGACCCACACACACGGAGCTACAGGGTAGATGAGTGATACACACACGGAGCTACAGGGTAGATGAGTGATCCACACACACACGGAGCTACAGGGAAGATGAGTGATCTACACACACACACGGAGCTACAGGGTAGATGAGTGATCCCCAAACACACGGAGCTACAGGGTAGATGAGTGATACACACACGGAGCTACAGGGTAGATGAGTGATCCACACACACACGGAGCTACAGGGAAGATGAGTGATCTACACACACACACGGAGCTACAGGGTAGATGAGTGATCCCCAAACACACGGAGCTACAGGTTAGATGAGTGATCCCCACACACACGGAGCTACAGGGTAGATGGGTGATCCACACACACACGGAGCTACAGGGTAGATGATTGATCTACACACACACGGAGCTACAGGGTAGATGAGTGATCCCCAAACACACGGAGCTACAGGTTAGATGAGTGATCCACACACACACGGAGCTACAGGGTAGATGATTGATCTACACGCACACGGAGCTACAGGGTAGATGAGTGATCCCCACACACACGGAGCTACAGGGTAGATGAGTGATACACACACACATGGAGCTAAAGGGTAGATGGGTGATCCACAGACACACGGAGCTACAGGGTAGATGAGTGATCCACACACACGGAGCTACAGGGTAGATAAATGATCCACACACACACGGAGCTACACGGTAGAAAAGTGATACACACACACACGGAGCTACAGGGTAGATGAGTGATCCACACACACACGGAGCTACAGGGTAGATGAGTGATCCCCACACACATGGAGCTACAGGTTAGATGAGTGAGCCACACACACGGAGCTACTGGGTAGATGAGTGATCCACACACACACACGGAGCTACTGGGTAGATGCGTGATCCCCACACACGGAGCTACAGGGTAGATGAGTGAACCACACACACACACGGAGCTACAGGGTAGATGTGTGATGCCCACACACGGAGCTACAGGGTAGATGAGTGATCCATACACACGGAGCTACAGGGTAGATGAGTGATCCCCACACACACGGAGCTACAGGTTAGATGAGTGATCCACACACACACGGAGCTACAGGGTAGATGCGTGATCCCCACACACGGAGCTACAGGGTAGATGAGTGATCCACACACACACAGAGCTACAGGGTAGATGAGTGATCCCCACACACATGGAGCTACAGGTTAGATGAGTGATCCACACACACACGGAGCTACTGGGTAGATGAGTGATCCGCACAGACACACGGAACTACAGGTTAGATGAGTGATCCACACACACAAGGAGCTACAGGGTAGATGAGTGGTCCACACACACACGGAGCTACAGGGAAGATGAGTGATCTACACACACACACGGAGCTACAG